TCTCTCTCTCTCTCTCTCTCTCTCTCTCTCTCTCTNTAAAAGTATCCTCTAGAAACACCAACTTCATGTTCTAGAACACATTTTGTGCTTTCTCTCTCTCTCTCTCTCTCTCTCTCTCTCTCTCTCTCACACACACACACACGCATCCACAGAGTGAGGGGGAGGGGGCAGAGAGAGAGAGAACACAAAAAAATGTGTTTCAAAATTTCAAATAATTTTAGGAAAAGAATCAGTAGTGTGTGGGAGAACTGAGACATGGGAGGGTAGTTCTCTCTCGCATTCCTCCCTTGCACCTCTCAATTTTTCTCCTCCTCGATCTCGCGTCCTTGTCCATATGCTTCTTCTTCTTTGATCCCTTTTGTTTTTTCCTCATATACTTCATCTTTTAGCAACTGAACCAAAGGATACTCTTGCTCCAGAGATTTCAATAGACAATATTTAAACTAATCAGTTGATGAGTTAACAAGTATGAGGGATTGATGGATTGATTCTTTTCTTTGGGAAACTCAGTGGAAAATTTGTCCATTGTTTCATGGTTTTTTTACTAGGTCAAATTTTCACGATAATCTGGTATAAGTTAATTTTTTTCTGAAAAGCAAGCGTGACTCTTAAAGTTGACCTATTCTCTTGGACCATTGCTCAAAAGAGACTTCATACTAGTAATTTGTTTCCAAGGAGAAGACCCCGTCATTTTTTGCTTGCATAGTGAGGTATTATGCATAACAGGAGCAAGGAGAATATTGATCATCTTTTCTGCATTATCCAGCTACTTTGTAGTTAAAGAGAAGATTACGTGTTGGTAGAGTGGTGTTAGATTTCATTTCACCACTAGCTTAGAGAAATGCAAATTTCAGATGAAATTTTGGGAATTTTGAAAAGAAAGAAAAATGTGTAGTGCTGTTGTTTTATTGGGTCTTATGGTTAGAGAGGAACATCAAAATAATGTTTGAGAATAACTATAAGGAGACGAATACCTTGTGGGGAAGAATTTGCTAGTTTGCTTCTTTTTTTCTTTTTTGGGTGGGTGGGTAGGGGAACTGTACAACTATTTGATTTCAAAATTTCATCACTTGCATGTTGGAAGGAGACAAAATACATCAGTAACATAAATAATAACAATCTTCAAAATGGTTTGCTAGCAGAACAAGTGGTCACTTCACACATTTAAAGGCGCCAATTGCTTATCTGCCACATATTTGCTCCTTTGCACAGAGATACGAAAAACACATAAGTACCACGTGTCCCCTACCCAGCTACCCCCAGGGAGACAAAGTGCATAAAGCAGGATTGGACCTTACTATCTAATGGTGCAATACTCACACAAATGAATATAGGAATTACAATGATGAGATTTAGATTCAGACAAACAGAATCAGCTTGGCAACTCCTGCAATTAAAAACAAGCTATTCCGCTACAAGAGCAAATATTTTCTGCTATTTATTAGAATCCATTATAAGTGGTACCCAAAGAAAAAGAAAAGAAGCCAGAATTATCACAGCCAGTCAGACACATACGGAAGTAGTAGTACTTTACCTCCTTCAGCCAAGCATGGTAAGCCTCCCTTATATTTTTCTTTCTCCATGCACGTAAATCAAAGATATTCATCCCATAAGCCCACGCACATTCATCAGGGTCCAAATTCTTTGCTATGAGGGGATGAGAAAAATTGAAGTAATTCCTGAATCGCTTGGACATTACCCATTCATCTTCACCTTTACAGGTTTCAACAGCTCCATTAACCTTTCCACCAAGGTCAATCTCCCAAAGCGGAGACAGATCACGTTGAATTACAATGTCATCATCTAAGAAAACCACCTTGTCAAGGTTTGGAAAAAGCTGCACAATGCAACATCATCAGCACGCAACTAAAGAAGNGGTGGGGGGGGGGCCTAAGCATCCCCGTTGTACAAGTTAGCCTCCGAAAGACTTGGTTGTGTGTTGGACTTGGTGGCAAAGTGTTGAAAATACCAAGTGTTGTGTGTGGCAGTGGTAATTTGGTAAATAGAGCACTATGGCTCCCTAACCAGATGATGTATGTTACTGTCACTTTGGAAAAGCTTCATAACACTATATTAAGGAAAGGAGGGTGGGTGTTCTATGTAATAGAGATCGAAAAGTAATTGGATGAGCTTAAATTGAAGAATTGAATTTTATTATTTGTTTTAGCATTATTATATTAGTTAAAAAATATATGTTTAACTAGGGGTATTAATTAAAATTTGACTAAGAAATTATTATACAATTTTAATATGATAGAGATTGGAGAGTTTGGTTACAAAATTATTCTAGAATTTTATTAGGATAGTAGTTTTTATTTTAGTAAGAGACTTATGCCTATAATTATTGGTATATCACTACTAGTTTCATTAGAGAAAGATTATGAATAAAAATTGAGTATTCTCTGTAAAAATTTGTGTGTTTCTTGACCGATTCCTTGCGAGAATAAGATAAATCCCTTCCACCCCTCTTCTTTCTTCTTCTCTTTCTATTCTCTGATTTCTAGTCCTTCCTGTCCTATATCCGTTTGGTATCAAAATCCAACTTCGATCATTCTCGATTGTTGTTGTGCTCATCCTTAAGTTTCAGCCCCTTGTTGCTATTGCCTACTGAAAAGATTAGTGAAGGTCCCAATTGTTGACTTTTATGGTTCCTATTGGAGAGCTATTCATGGAGCAAATAATATTACCTTGCTGGGTATTGAAGTTTGGGTATCCTTGACACCAATCTCCCTTTACCTTATTTCTTTTTCCTAGTCAGTCGCTTGACCCAATAAATTTTTACCCGCTCTGTCTTCCCTAAATAAATCTTAACCCCAAACTCAATCCAACCAAAAGAAAAACTCAAACCCATATTATTAGTCCAACATTAACCATCCCCCCCCCCAAAAAAAAATAAAAAAAATAGCCCTATTCTATATTAGCCGGCCCAATACTACCTAAACCTAGAAAACTTAAGATCTACCCTCATACACCTCTGAAATTATACAAACACTCCCCAAGATTTTCCAAAATTACATATCCAACCCCCTAAAATTTTTGAAATTACACTTGGGTCCCCAAAAGTTTTAGGAATTATAGATTTGATCCTGGGCTTTTTGAAATTACAAACAATTTTTGAAAATACAAATTGACCCCAAAATTTTCATAAATTTCTTAAAACTCTCTTCCAATCAATATAGTTACCAATGTCGAATTAATTGTCACATTTGAACGTGATACTAAGGTCGATTCACTCCAAGTATCAATGGGTTATCTCCACACATTAATGGAATATATACATGAAGCCATGTTTGGAGTTAAGCTCCCAAATAAGAACCTATCGAGCAAGGTAGATATTGACTCATCTTCATCAATTAATCGTCAACAATTACAAGTGATTGATCAAACTTTACCATCATCATCAGTTCCAACCAATTTCGATGGCAAATCAAAATTGTTTAATGTTGATGAACTTAAAAGTTCTTCTCATCCTATTGTTTTTGATAAACCAATTTCAAAAGGTGTTCCCACAAATTAAGTTAAGCAAGTTTCAAATGTGATTTTTTAGATGTTAATGCTACTTTTTCGCCAACATCATCACCATTCTTTTATCTGGAACAAAGTATGAAGGTTATGAAGATTCAAGATACAGATTCCTCTCATTGTGATATCATATATTATGTCATTCAAGAGAGATCTTACTTCTATGCTATCAGGTTTGAAGATGTGTTTCACCGTCTGACGTCAATTCTCTTGGAGTATTCTTGCTACAACTCTTCGAAGAAGAGTTTTTTTCAGCCATAGAAAATTGATAGAAATCAAAAAGAGATTGGATATGCTTAAATTGAATAATTGAATTTTATTATTTGTTTTAATATTATTATATTAGGTAAGAAATATTAGTTTGACTAGGAGTATTAATTAGAGTGTGACTAGGAAACTATTATAGAGTTTTAGTATGATAGAAATTTGAGAGTTTCATTACGAAACTATTTTAGAATTTTATTAGGATAGCAGTTTTTATTTTAGTATGAGACTTAGCCTATAAATATTGATGTATCCCTACTACTTTCATTAGAGAGAGATTATGAATAAAAATTGAGTATTCTCTTGAAAGATTTGTGTGCTTCTTAACCGATTCCATTCAAGGATAAAATAAATCCCTTCCACCCCCTCTTCTTTCTTCTTCTCTTTCTATTATTTGATTTCTAGTCTTTCTCGTCATACATTAGGGTTTCTGGCCTGCAAACTTTATGCCCCCTAGTCTTGAGATGCCAAAGTAAGGCACGACCCCAAGAATGCATGACATGCTACACAAGGCATGCAAAAGTCCGAGACCCGAGAAATGTGGGACCAAGATACTGGTGGGACCCGTCGTTATTGGAAGCCCCATGTGTGGCTAAGTGAGGTAGTACATCATGGACATGTTGGGGACAACAAAGCAAGCAAGACATTATTGTGTGGGCTATTTGAGGTGCATTGCATGCTTGAAAGACCAAACCATAGGTTGAGTATAGCTTGCCATGCTGGGAAGGACAACTCAGACATTGTGGGCTGACAAGGAATGCATGTGTTGATTGTGTGGACAATTCAAAGCAATTCATGGCTGAGTCATGTGGTAGTTATGAAAGGCAACAACTGTTCCAACCATGCAAGACGTTTCCGATTGATTCAAAACCATTGTTGTTTGTGGGAAAACTGCCCCAGATCCTTGAGGGTGAATCTGATTGGTGCCAACATGTCCTAGCAGTTGACCCCACTGACTGATCTAGTCAAAGCTGGTTGTTGTTAACATTGCCTAGGCAGTTGAGTTATAACTGTCATTGTAAGTTTAAATACACATGCTAGTGTTTGTAGTACCCTAAAAAAGGGAGTGGGGACGTTTTGTAAAGGCCCTAAGTCAAACTCTTTGTACTTGCTGAGAAGTAAAAGTTGGGGCATTGTCATGTAAACTTGTGTGTTTTTTTTGTGTTCAATAAATTGGTTCTACGAGCCCCCTTGTGTGCGTTTGGCTGGGACTAAGCGTTGGATCTCAGTGCCATCACCAGACAAAAAATTGTGTATAATTTGACCCCTATAACACTAACCATGTTTGAAGGATGTACTAGTAATGTTTGTTATCTTGAGTGTTAGGGTTGACAACAGATGATAAGACAAAATGGGCTGCTTAAAATAGGATCTTAGCATTCACAACTTGTGGTTTACAAGTCTAATTGTCAATATGATGCACCAAAAAAATACGAAAAAAAAAGAAAGGATCGAAAGAAAAAAAAAATCTCAATCAATCCTCACAAAGCCAAAAAAAACCTAAACATAACCTTAATTGTTATGAATCAATTATATTGAATTAAAAAGAAGACTCTTAGGCCTTTAGACTTGCTTCGGCAACTTCACCCTTTTGTCGCCAAAGGAAAATAATATAAGGAGTAGAGTGAGAGAGTGACTCAGTTGAGGTCACCTTATTCATTCTATGGGTTTGGGGCAAAAATATAAACTCTTGGATGGCTTACAAACATTTTTTGTCATGCTAGGTCCCTCCCTCCTGACATTATCAATCCATTAATCACAATACAAAGGTAGAAACTACAATGTCATCTAAAGTTCCATCCTTATAGTCATTATTTTAATAATTTGGTCCTACCGGTGCAAGTGTTGAAACGGTAAACTTGAGGGTGCAAAAGTACGTACCTATTTGTTCCACAATTTTTCTGTTATCTGTGGTTGTCTCCAATACGCAAGTCCCATACGACAATGGGAATTTTCCAGTACTGTTTGGTTCATATTTTTATCCTACAGATCTTACTTATAGGAATCAAAACAGAGATATGATTCCGCTCCAATAGGAAAAGCCAAAAAGGAAAAATAAGGGGGAGACAATACTCAAAAGCTATCAAAATGGTGTTTTTCACAAAGAATTTTATGGACTCAAAAAAAATAAAGAAAGAAAATGAAATCACGCTTCTTAGTCAAATAATTTTACAAGTCGGTCAATTTAACCTCGGTGTTGACTGCTCTACACTACACATCAACTAAACAATTCAAGTAGAAAATCTTAGATTAAAAACAACTACATAGGTGTACATGATCACATTACCATACATACAGCACTACACCTCAATGGTACTAGACCAAAAAATAGAAATATAACCACCCACAAAAGAAAATACACAAATGTAGAAAGGTGTTACCTGGTAATTCATAAAGGTCTCAATCAGTTCCACTGTCTGATAAGAACCTAATAAGGTTGACTGATACCTGGAGAATGTTCCAGATAAATTTTAACATCCATTGGAAAATTAACATAAAAAACCACAATCAAAGTACATTTGTGTTTTATGATGCATCTCTGATGTGAACTTTTCCAAGTTTAAAAAACCCCAAGCAACACCCTACTTTCACATGACAAGAGTAGGACAAATAACTTGTTTTTTACATAAATAAATTGGAAATACCTAAAACCAAACTCACCATCCAACAGTGTTATTGTCAACATTAACCTCTCTCAAGCATCTCATCATTTCAAGCTGATAATTAGCTCCGTCTGCTTCGACCTCCTCGTCTTCCTCACGGACCTGTCAGTTTTTATGTGTTTTTTAGAATTAGAGAAATCCTAACAACAAATTTTTTTTTCGACAATTCAGAAGAACAGAAACTTAAATTAAGGGAATGGTTTGTTCCTCAATTGGGTAGATTAAAAAATAAACATGGTACAAAGAAAAAGAAAAAGAAGAAGAAAGGCCACAGCTTGACTTACCGGGAAGGGGAAACAATTCGTAACTTCCAGAACACTGCCAACATCTAACCCAAGAAGTTGCCCTGTAACCAGAGCTGGCGAAAACTCCTTGCAATGCTTGATTATCTTTAATATTACCTGTTTTTATTTAATTTAAATAGTTAGTGAACTATTAAAAAAGAACCCATTGCTCCCCCACCCCCCAAAAAATAGAGAAATAGTAAAATTAAATAAAAGTAGTAAATTTGTCCATTGGGGGATTATCTCAGGAACTAAACCTAGAGTTAGGACAAAACATGGGGACGAATACAACACAGAAACCCAAGTATATACTCTTTAGTTTTCACTGTTTTTGTTTAACTTAAGTGATTATCGAAATATTTTAAAAGAACCCATCAATCTACCGTTACCCACAAAAATCACACTGAAATAATAAAATTAAATAAATGTATTAGATTTGTCCTTTGAGGGATTATACCTAGAGTTAGGGTTAATAACACAGACACGAATACAACACAGAAACCCAATATATAATGAAAAAATCCAGCACATAGAGAAGGCTAAAGGCCACAAAACAAACACAGTACCAGTCCCTCGATCTGAACGACTCTGAGAGGAGAAGCAACTTCCTCTGTAACTGCCACTTGTAGAAACGACCGAGCCGTTGCTGCAATTTTAAACCACAAATTCAATCCATAGATGTTCGACATATATATATCTAGAGAGACAGAGTGACAGAGAGAGAGAAGGTTTACGGACAATTTGCCATGGCGTTCTGTTGCCTCTGAAGGAAAGAAGAGGAAGAGTGTTAATCAAAGAGTGGGTTTCAGACTGCTTTCTGTGCCCGTAGAAGCAGCCTACCCTGTATTGAATGTGTGTTAGACAGAAACCCTAGTTTATTGTACACGAGAAAAGAGCTTTGTGACAATTTTGGACGGTACAGGTTTACACAATACCGTAAGAATATGGATGTGGCAAACGGGCCGGTGTGGATCAATGACGGGTCGAATGTAAACCCAGTTTTAATTCACTATGGCATGTTTGTTTTGAGCATTGCTATGCATGGAATTAAAAAATATATTTTTTATATTTTTAATATCAATAAAAATTAGTACCGATAATAGAAAGTATTTCAATGACATTATAATGCTAATTGTAGATTTTTAATCCGAAGTGTGTACCATTTGCATATAAGAAGACTATATGCATTCGGGTTGTACAAGTGTTGGTTCGTCATCAAATTCAGGGGGTAATTGGGATGCTTAATGGAATCAAAATGTTTCCCGCAAAGTTAAAATTTTTGCATGGAGGATCATCTTAAATGCTCTTCTTATTAACGAAAATTTGTGGCGTAAAAAAATTAGACCGAATGGGGTGTGTTGTGTATGTGGGGGATTGTTGAAACTATGATACAAATCATTAAAGAATGTCCGAGGGCAAGATAGGTGTGGAATGTGAGTCCTCTTTGTCATTTAATATATCAAGTTGTTGGGAACATTGGCGATTCATTTTGGAAAATTATTTTGCAGTTTAAGCTGAAACTTGGTGCAATTTTCTTGGTGTTGTGTTGGTGTAACAAGAATAAGTAGAGACGAAATGACTCAGTGGTGTTTTGTCATATGGCAATGGAGTTTATTTCACAGTATGAGCAAGCTTTGGATTCTGGTTTGAGTGCTGGCCAGGAAGGGTGCACCAGAACGTGGGGCTCCTCTTAGATCTGGATCCTTTAAGGTTAACTTCGATGGAGTAGTGTTTGACATAAAGGGTGCTATTTGGGGTGGGGGGTGATTATTCGTGATGAAGCTGGGTAGTTCATCGTGAGATATCTAAGAAGTTAATTGGTTTGGTAGAAGTGTAAAATGCAGAGACTATGGCTGCAATGGAGGTTGTGATTTTTGTTAGGCAAATTGGGTGTGATGAGATTTTGTTGGAAGGGAATTCTTCTGCAATTATGAAGAGGATTGACAATAATTCTAAAGATTTTTCTCCTATTGGCACTATTATTACAGTTGTGCAACGATTTCTTCGCCAATTTATTTTTTATTCTTTGTCCACTGTTAGACGATCATGAAATCATGCGGCTCACCAACTGACTCAAAAGGTTAGATTAGGTGAAAATATTGATATTTGGGAAGAGATGACACTAGAATTTTTGATATCATCTATTCTCTCAAATTTAACTTCTTAATAAAATTTCTATCGTTTCGATTCAAAAAACAAAAAATAGATTATAACAAATATTTTCTCGTTCAATAGGTATTATAGTGGGTCCCACAAATAACTATCTATTCAATCATATCTTGTATAACAAATATACAATTTTACTCTTAACATTATCCATTTCATTACTCCGTTTGTGTAACGTTTTTGCACAACGTTTGGTATAATCCATGGTATGACAATCTATACCAAAAAAATTCTGGATAATGTAAAAAATTTTCATAAAAAATAAAGAATTTTATGCTATGAATCAATGACATTGTAAAAAAAAAATTCGGTGACACCATATGCTTAGATATAATACAAGGAAAAAATTTAAAAAATTGATGACACCTTACACTTAAACATAATACAAAGAAAAAATTCAAAATATTTTTTTTATATGCGAACTCTACACATGAGAGTATTTGTGTCATTTTCCTTACTTGTATCATCGGTGACTTTATACCAGCAAATAATACCACCCAGTAGGTGACATTCATTAAAGTCATATATATGGGTTAAAAGCAACTGTACAAACTTAGTCAATATTACAACCCGAAAAATAGTACTGCACATAATATGCCAACCAAAGTAATAGGTGGGCCCCAGATACTATTTATTGCTATCCTATCCTATAATACCACTAAAACTCTAAACAAACATGCCCTAGAGATCTTGCACATTGTTATCCACTTGTTAAATTTTTTATAGACTAGTTAATGCATACGTGCATTGTATCTGAATCAATATGAACTTTGATTTTGAATCAGTGTATTCTCATAATTATAGTTACATTGGTAAACATTTTATGATGCAACTATGCATTGAAATCCATGCATACCAATTATTCAGGAAATCTTAAATTTCTCATCAAGCCTTGCAACTAGGGGTGTTCACCCTACTATACGGATAAGAATTATGACATTTCATTTTTTTACCCGATAATTTTTTTTTGATCTACCCTTCCCGATCAAGTGTATTATTCTTACCCAAATTCCGTCTAAAACAATCAGAAGTCAGATAGGAAATCGGGTGAACACATATTTTTAATTTATTAATTTTTAGATCATTTTAATAATTTAAATAAGTAACCTGCACCAATTAACAAGCATAATAAACCAATAACACTAAATAAAATATAATAAATTTGATAATACATAAACAATTACAATAAAACACAATAAAAAAGTCATAAACATCAATACACTATATGTAAGAAAGTCATAAACATCAATAAAATATTAGAGTTTCTAGATTTTTGGATTTTAATTTTTAAGGATTATATATATATACATATATACGGGTAGGGTAGGGTAGGTATACGAAAATTTTGTAGGTATTCCGTATTCCTACTCGATTTTTTGTAGAATACCAAAAAATCTTCCGTCGATCTACCTGATTCTTTCAGATAGTCGATCAATAGAGTCGGGTAGAGTAGGTTAGGGTCGGAATTTATAGGTAATCAAAAATTTGAACACCCTTACTTGCAACAAATGCACCCATCAAGTTTGAAGGGTGAAAACTATGTAATGAGTTATCACTTGGAGAACTTACACTTAAGTTTGAAGTTGTATATATTTCAAGCTCTTGATTGGCTATCTTTATTTCAAATTGTGCGATATATTAAAACACTAAATCAAGAAAATGACGTAGAGATAATAACAAACTACATAACATTTTGTTGCAAATTCATATGCCACCCTATTTCCTCATTCTTACAATAGAAAAGTCAAGGCCCTGTTTGGTTTGCATTTTAAAAAATAATATCCAAAAATAGTTTTTTAGAAGGTTTTAAAAAAGTGTATTTTGATGTTTTCTAAGATAAAAAACTTATTTGGTTAGATGATTCAAAAATAATTTTACAGAATAGAAAATAGTAAAACCTGTTTGGACAACTTAAATATATATTTGAACAGTAATTCAAAAATTAATAAAAAAATATAATAAAATTATTTTTAGATTGATAATTTCATATAAAAAATTCAATAAACCAAACTTTAAAATAAATCAATCATATTCAATAATCTTCATCAAAAATAAAATCAATATAAAAAAATATATCAATGACATTCATCTAAAATAAAAATAAAAAATATACGAACTCCAATAATTTTTTTTCCAAAAAAAAACACAAATATCACCGAAGAACACTCACACAATATATATATATACACACACACACACACACACTCACTCACACAATACACACACATCGCCCAAGAAACGCACCCATCACACACATACTCTATATAAATATATATATACACACAGAGTTACACAATACACACACACACACAATCCGACATACACAAAATCCACACAATACACGCACACATAGTGTGATATACACAAAATTCACACAATACATGCACACACACAATCCATATACACAAAATATATATATATATATATATATATATATATATATATATACACACACACACACACACATAGAGTTACGCAATACACGCACACACACAATCCATATATATATACAGGCACCCATAGTTACGCAATACACACATTGCTCAGATCTGAAGAAGATCAACACATATTTGAACCCAAATTTGAAGGACGTTGGAGTCGACACCGGAGCAAACACATATCTGAACCCATATTTCGTCTGGTTTCGCCGGAGTGTGGAGAGAGAAAGCCAAAAAAGACAGAGAAAGGCAATATTTTTTTTTATAGTTGAATATGTTTTGTTGTTAAGAAGGTTTGAAGGGGAGTGAGGAATGAGATGTTCTCCGTGTTCTCTCATTTCCCTTTCTTTTGTCTGTAAAGCACAGAAACACAAGCTGGGCTTATTTTCCATTTTTTGTTTTCTACATTCATTTTTTTCCAAATTTTGGAGAACAAAAATCCAAACCAAACAAGTTTCTCTTGTTTTTTAAGAAATTTGAGATCAAAAAACTGTTTTCAAAACTCAAACCAAACAGGCCCCAAATATCCTAAATCTCTTTTAATAAATATGAGAGATTGGACACAATATCACCTAACGGATATAAAACTCCATTCGATTACTGAAGCTCATTGATAACATTAGCACATTTCCCTTGCAATTCTGCTTCTAAAATATTCTAGATCTAGTGCAAAATGAATATTACTGCTTTTGTGGCTGCCATCATCTCCCCTTGTTCTGGATCATCATTTAGAACCCTGCCCTGAATTCCCTAGCTTCATGACGGGCAACAACTGTCAACCACATGTAGGAATGCAATTGAATGTAGCCCCATCAAAATTAACAATAAGTAACCATATGAATGAATAGGGAAGAGAAAAAAATCCATTCATCTTCTCTTGAATGTTGTACCACATTATGGCTTTGAAACATGACAACTAGTGAGTCTCTTTTACGAAGGAATCATACTAGCTTATCCCCCAGTTCATCAACATAATATATAATAATGAATTTTTGAGTAAAGAGTCCGAGGAAGCATTAGACTATTTTGATAGTTTAGCGGAGAATGCCCAATCTTGGGATATTTCTAATCCTACTGAACGATCGAAGCAGTCTGCTCCATCCCAGTTTATTGGGGGTAAAAAATATGTTTTGAGAGAACAAGA